TAAATTCATTCACCAAAAAGTTGCATGACCAGATAAAACGCAAATCTTCTTTGAAGTTCATCAACTGAGCCCACCTCTGTCAATGAGATTTTTCTGCAAATGCATTATTTTTTCGATTGGAAGTTTCCAATCATTTCCACTTGCTCTTGAGACAAAAAAAAAATCATTTGAATCTTAGATTTTTTTATTATTATTTTGCTCTAGATCTTTTATAAAATCAAATGAAAACAAATAAACTTGGATATATGCACGGTGTGGAGAATCGAAATCACCAATACATGATAACTGTCTTCCAAAATATGGAATAACATTCAAGATAATTGAACTAAAAGAATGCAACAATTTAGGACGATTAATGTCTACAACATTTGCTTCAAGTTTAATTTTGGAAATATTCTCCATTTTAACATTTGGGAACTCTTTGTTTCGGGGAAACAATTGTAAAGTTCTATTTTGGTTAGCTGTTATCATGTACATCATGTCCTTTTTTTTTATCAGCAACGATACATTTGTATAACCTACTTTATCCTAATCTAGGGGAGGGGGAGTCTAAGGAGGCTGTTGTAGAGGCTAGTGAGTATACAGACCCAACTAGACCAAGGGAGTGCTATGATACAATTCTTAGATTTTTTTCGTTGCTGGTGAGGTTTGAACCCTCAGCAACAGCCCAATGAGGGACTTAAGTCCCTCCCTGGTGGCCATTGAGCCATTGGCCCAGTGGTTATGTACATCATGTCCTAATGATGCAAAAATTGGGTTGGCATGTCTTCTCTTCTGAGGCCTGTGATAGCGTCAGTTTAGATGGGCCTATTATGAGCAAGGATGAGGGGCAGGAGCGGTCATTAGATGGACCGCTCTTGAGCTGTTCACGGTCAAAATTTGGCTAAAAAAAATTATACAGTCCAAATCACTTTTTGTACCCCATTTTTAACAATGTGTGTGTGGTCCACAAAATTTTGTTCTAAAGTTACACGTTGTGCAAATAAAGTTACGCCGTATGCAAATAAAGTTACCCAATGTGCAAAATGCACAAAATCGCTAGAAACAGTTGCACCTGCCATGGTCCTATGAGCAACGTTCTGAATTTAAAATCTAGGTCTATCTGGGCTTTGTATTGTACAGTTATGAGGCCCAAAAAAATTATTTACTGTTTAATTGTTATCATGACATGTTTTAAGAAAAGTTATTAAAATTCCTTTTTTTTCTCTAGCAGGAAGAGTGGAATATAAAAAGTAGGGTAGAAGAATGGAAGTAAAACTTAGGACCTCTAGTGTTCAGGTTTCAACTTTAACTACTAAATCAAGATTTCATTGGCAAAAGTAATCAAATACTTATATATTAATGTTGTCAACTATTTGGTGATGTATCCAAATTGTTATCGTTTATATGGTGGAACCCAAAATAAACAATTTAGTACGAAACATTTATGCAAAAGAGAAATTTAATAATGCTACACCACTGGCTCCTTGTTCTTTGAAATATATATATAGACACACACATATATATATATATATAAAGATGATGGAGTGTCGTTAAGAAATGTTGGTACACCATTAATTATTATTCACTATAGATTTGCAATATATAAAGGATATGCAAATAAATACAAATACGCAGTCTAAATTCACAATTCCTATGAAATGCTAATGCGCACTGCTTAAAAATGAACGAAATGTTTGCTTACGTAGTCCAAATCATCACTTCGCCTTTAACGGTGCATGATTGTCCAAGTATTCATCCACTTTTAAGTGATTCTGCCTTTCTTGTTTTCATTTTTTAAGATTTTTTTTTCCCAAGCAACATGTCTTCTTTGGAATTTTTTTTTTAAATCCTAATGTTTGGCCTTTCATTTTTGTTTTTCCTGTTCAGGCTTTTTACCATACTAAATCTTGATATTAAATTTTTATCGTTTTAAACATAATTTCTTTCCAATTGTTCGATCCTTTTAGACATTTCGTTGAAATCACAACCTCAAAATTTTCATTTAGAACATGGCTGAATATTACTTATCTGACTAGCCCCAGGACCCCCAAATGGGCAAAAAAGTGTCTATCCTGAATGAATGCAGTTGTGAAAAGAACTCCTAGAAATGACATTTGATGCTGCTAGCATTCCAACTATTTTATTCATGATTGCTGCCGGTGTTAATTTCATGTTTCTCCTTTTTGCATAAGTTTGAGTAGTTGACTGAGTATAACTTTCCCTCTAATGACAATAATAAAAGTAGTGCCAAATATACATAAGATCCAATGCTTGATACAGAGTATCAAATTCTCTATTTTGTTCCTTACAAAATAAATTCTCTTTTTTGTCCCTTTACTTCCTAGTTCCAAATCAAATTATCTATTTCATTCCTTACAACATAACATTTTGGGTTTTATGTGGCATCGAATTGTGATTTTATCTTGTAATGTTTCAGTAGTTTGTGCTGATTTCTTGCTATATCTATCTTCTTCTCATCCTAAGCATCAAATTCCGTATAAATTTCATAAGATTGGTTGCTATTTGAGTGATATGAGAAGCAGCAACCACTGTTTTCAATTTATATCACCGTTCTCCAACTTGATTGTACCTTTGATTGTAAAGGAGGTGGACATTGGTACCTTGGGTGGCCGCCTTTAACCTGCCAGCTACCATGACTGGTGCCCTTAAAAGCTCGTGAAGAAGGCAAAAAATAAAAGGAAGACGGAATAGGAAATTAAATTAAAAAAAAGATGGGAAATGAAAGATGAAATACTGGTTTTTAAGAGTGGGTATTTTGGGGCTTGCATGACATATTTTTGGTTGACATCATCAAGACTAGCAGTCAAAATTTTGTTGACTAATGGTGAGGGGATGTTTTTTTTATAATTTTTTGAGTTTGAAGGTTCATTTTTTTATTTGGCAAAATCTCAGGGATTGACCGGTAGCTTGGCCAAACCTCAAAGGAAGTAAATGTTATTAACCCTAGCATTTTTTTGTGATGCATTACTATAAAGTAAGTAAAATAATATTTGAAATAATATTTATATCCAAACACACCCCTTGTTATTTTGGTTCTTTTCCTCTACAATTTGATTTCAGATTATAAGACATTCTATGTTTTCTTTTGTCCTAAGGAATTGAGCTACAAGTCTCTGTTATATAAAATAACAATTGTAATGCAGCGAATTTTTTGGTCCCATTTTCTGTGCCACTAACTGCCTCATTTTTTATAAAGTTGCATGATTGCTTCCGGGAAATTGCTCTCTCTCTTTTCTTGTTCTGTGCTGAAATTCCTCCAATTGCATGAAAATAAAGTATCTTTAAAACAGGAAAATCTTGCATAAGATTTTACTGTAAAAATGATTAACATAGTGCCTAAACTTTTTTTTTTTCTAACCAAGTGATAAAAACCTTAAGGTCATAGTTCCATTCAGTTAATATCCAAACTCCATTTTTTGATTTAATTAGACAACAAGGGAACAATCAGTTGAGAGTTAATTGTTGAAAAGGTTTGTAATCAGTTACCAATGATCTCTCACTTACATTTAAAAAATAGTTAAGGGTAGAAAAAATAATTATAATTGAAATTAATAATTAAAGTTAGGGATGGATTGAATGATATAAAGGAAACAAGTGTAAATGAGATATTTCGATTTCGAAACCTCCCACTCATATTAAAAAATTAATGGAATCACGCTCTTTCTTTTTTCTTTTTTTGTTGGAAAAAAAATTCGCATGCATGTACGTCCTGGTGCATAGTTGTCTCCTCAATTATTGTACTCGACATGGGAGAAAATGTGCTACACGATTGGCTTTTAAACGCAAGAATTTAATATTCCAAATTCACTGGGTGTGAATCCCGGAAGATAGACTAAAATTACTTTTGACTAATTATGCTACAACTTTTTCCACGCTTCCAACGAGGTACTTTCTCTGTGTTTTTCCTTAGGCTTAAATCTGTCAAAAAGTGGTATGGCCAGAGGCAAAAACTGAAAGACCTTTGAGTCTATTTAGTAAGGCCAGCATTCTCATGTCATATATGTTTGGATTGAGCATTATTTCTTCAATTTTATTTATTTACATTATCATTATAATTTTCAATACATCTTTTTATCTTTTCAATTATTTTTTTATCTCATATACATCACATCACAAAAAGTATTACAGTAAAAATATCTCAAATAACTTACAATCCAAACATTAGTTTGGAGAGATTTGCAACCTAAATGAGAATTTTGTGTGAATGCATTAGTATTTCAATTAGAAGTTTCGAATTATTTCCGTGTGCTCTTTAGACACTAAAAATCATTTGAATCTTAGACCTTTTCATTCTCTGGTTTTACATGGCAAAATCAAGTGGAAAAAAAATAATGAATAGATATCTTATTAATATATACATGATAATTTTCTTCCAAACTATGAAAAACATACAAGATAATTACAATACTGAAAAATACTCATGTTTAGGATGATAAATAAAATTAAAAACAAATTGGCTTCAAGTTTGAATCTGGAGAATTGTCCTCCTTTTAACATGTGGGATGTCTTAGTTTTGGAGATGAACTGTAAAAGGTCTTTCTTTGGTTAATTTTTGGTAGGAGAATCATATGTCATGCGCTGATTATACACATAATTGAAGATTGGAGTTTCTCGTTTTGTGCCCACAGGCCGCCAGTCTAAGAGTAATTTTAGGGAAAATGGTCAATTTCGTCCCTAAACTTTTTTTCTGTGTCAATTTAGTCCATGTATATTTTTTTTGGTCAATTTGATCCTTATACTTATTTAACGGTTCTAATTGAGGAACTCCGCGGCGGCGCCACCGTATAAATTCAATCAAATCACTAATTGAACAATTAAGTAAGGGTATTTTGGATAGTTCACTGGGACAATAACAAAAGAAGTAAAATCCTTGAAGGATCCAATTCTAAACCTTGGATTCTTGACTAACAAAGTCTCCAAAGGCTGTCCGAACTCCTCTCCCATTGCTTAAAAATTGCCCAGTTTTGCTTTGTTTCTTTTCAACTGCGTCAGAGAGATCACAATTTGCGACGTCCAATTCTAGGACTAGTCCGGCCTCCGAATCCACCGCCCGCGCCAACTCCTCCACCCTTACCAAATCCCCTATGCCCTCCACCAAAACCTCCTCCAGCCCCAAAACCACCACCTGCACCACCTCCTATACCTCCACCTTTCCCAAAGCCACCATCTGCTCCACCCCTTTTTCCGCCACCGGCCCCACCTCCAGCACCTTTGCCAACGCCTCCTCGGGCTCCTCCTCCTACACCTCCACCTGCTCCACCTCCGGCACCCCACTAATGCCTCCAACGACCCCTCCTACTTCCCCGCTTGCTCCACCCCCAACTCCACTACCAATCTCTACCAGCCCCACCACCTACACCACCACCTACTCCTCCACCAGCTCCACCCCCTGCACCTCCTCCAATGCCACCTCCAGCACCACCACCTGCACTGCCTCCAACTCCACCACCACCACCTGCTCCTCCAACACTAGCTCCAGCCCCAGCACCACCACCTACACCTCCTCCAGCGCCACCTCTAGCGGCACCACCACCACCTGCACCTCCTCCAACTCCAGCTCCTCCATTAGCACCTCCAACGCCGCCTCCAGCAGCACCACCACTACCTGCACCTCCTCCAATTCCAGCACCACCATCGGCACCTCCTTCAATACCCAGAAAATCCTCAAGAATGTGTTTGTATCCCGCAACATAATTAAACAAAAATCAGCTACCCAAGATAATTTAAATTCTTCCAAAAAAATAAAAGAAAAAGGGGTGTATATCAGGTATAAGGCGCTCTGAAGAACAAAAAAAGTGATAAAAATCGGTCCCCAAAACACTCAACTCTGTTGGTCCTCAAACGTATCGAAACAGTTGGGAAAAGAAGGGAAAAGCTCTGCTGGTTTGTAGTGGAAAGGGATTTTCGAGTGGTGATAATCAGTAGCCGAATAGCAGAGGAAACCGAAATCCAGTGGAGCTTCTTCAATAAAGACTCAATATTCTCAAAACTCGATTGGAATCTTGCCAACATAAATCTCAGCACCCAATTCTAAGTTTAGAATAGAATTGGGTCTTTTGCCGGATTATTGCAATTATAAAAAGCTAATTGGGTCCTTTTGCCGGATTTTACTTCTTTTGTTACTGTTCCAACAATGAACTACCCAAAATACCCTTGCTTAATTGTTCAATTAGTGATTTGATTGAATTTATACGGTGGCGCCGCCGCGGAGTTCCTCAATTGGAACCGTTAAATAAGTATAAGGATCAAATTGGCTAAAAAAAATATACATGGACTAAATTGACACGAAAAAAAAGTTTAGGGACGAAATTGGCCATTTTCCCGTAATTTTATCTTGATCCACATTAATTACTTGACAAGTTTGGATCTTTGGCCAATTAAAAAGCTCGATAAATAAAATTATGGAGTTCTAAACTCACTAATTTTATATTAAATACAATTTATTTAAGGTTGAGTATTTGTAAATTACTTGGATGTGTACCCATATTTTTTTTATATATTATATGATAGTATTGAAATGCCTATGTCATCGCCTTCTGAAAATCTAGGGATTTGGAATATATAAAGAATTTGCAAATAAATACCAACACATAATCAGTTTCTATAAATATTAACGGTGCACTGTAAAAAATTTAATGAACAAAATGTTTGCTTATTGAGAGACAAATTAGAAAAACACAAATAGTATAAAAAAGGAAATAACCAGCATATCCTTTAGTCCCAAATTTTTTGTTATATTTTTCCAACTTTTTAATAATAGTGGCTTGACGGTGATGTTTATGGATTTGTTTTCAAAATTGCTCTAAAAAGTTCAAATTTGATAGCATTGAAAAAAAAGATAAAATTTTTTTTTGACTTTAGTAAGATGACAAATATTTTAAGGCATCGTAAAATGAAAAGTATAACACCTTCAGTGGATGGAGGGTTGAATATGACTAGTCTAAGTTATCACTTTGCTTTATTTCTTATATGTTAATTGCCCAAGTATCCATCAATTTTTTAGTGGTTGAGCTTTTTTTTTTTTTGGATGTTTTGTCTTTATATTTTATTCACACAAAGGAAAAACATGGAATTTTCTTATTTTTTTTCTTCTGTCTCTTCGCTTGTCATATCCTCCTTTGTGATTGTTTCCTTCTTTCTTTCAATTTGATTTTAGATCTTAAGATATTCTTTTCTTTTTCCTTTTTTTTTTTTTTTTTTTTGACATCCACTAAGAGATTAATTAAAATAGTCATAGTAATACAATTGTACAGAGCTCAATGGTAACCATATAGCTTTAGGACGGTCAAAAAGTAGCCAATATGAGCATAATTGCACCAAGTTGCCTTTACTTTGTTGCCATATATACCTATCTCGGAAGACTTGGAGTCCACATGGGACGTCGTTTGTGGAGAATAAAGTTCATGAGAACGGCAATTTCATGATTCTTGAGTCAAGTCCAAGTCGTCGTAGCCCTATGATGTTCGTTATTCATTGAGATCCAGCCAGGTTTCATGAAGTAACAAGTTCTAACAACCGACAAAAGCGACAGCACGATTGACAATTTGGTCCAAATTCGTTGTTGGATGGTTCCTTCTAATTTCTCAAAAGAAAAATTTCATAGCTCGCGAGTCAAGTCGTTGCCCTGTGATGTAACTGGTGGTTGGTTTTTCTTTGAGATTGAGTGAATTTCATGAAGTGACAACTCAGAGAAGCGAGAGCTATCAAGCAAGATTGGCAATTTCCTTACATTTTCCATTAGTTAAGTGTTGAAAATTCCGAGAAGGTTGGTGGCCGATGATTTTTTATTACGTTTATTCGTTTGCGATTTCTAGTTGATATTTGATTACATTGACACTTTCTTGTAAAATGTGAATCGACTTAGAATAATTGATTTGCTTGAAAATAATATGGTTAAATGTAGAAAATTTCCATGAACTATTAAGCTAGTTACACTTTATAGTATTTTAATAAGCATTTACACCCTTGGTGAATTTAAAAATAACTTGAAAATTAATTTCATTCGAGTAATTGATGAAATGATCAATTTATCTGTCATTAAAAATTTAAGTGGCAAAAATACATTTTGGTGGTGGAGACTGCTACTTTAAATAGAGTAATTTTCACTTTATAACAAAAAGTCTAAGTGTTAACACATAAAAAAAAAAAAAGATATTGCTTCACTTTGAATGAGAATTAAAACCATTGGGATCCAAATGGGGGCAAAATATGAAATTGGACGACTACTGTTGCAATTTTAAAATCTCATAATTTTATTCAACGCAGCATAATGCCATAATTTCATATAATCGGCAAAATTTCACTTGAAATCTTCACAAGAATAAAATTGGATAGAATCCAAAAATTTTCATATGAATTTAGCACAATAATTGCAGCAAAGATTCAATAACTAACCAAAATTAAAACCCACATATTAGTAAACAAAATATTGGACTTAAAAGTTTCAATAAAAACACCTATATTATTTACTTTTCCTTGATAAGAATCTTTTCTTACCTAGGCTAACTTGAAATATGTGGTAAAATAGAGTTGCTGTGATTCTCGAATTGAATATATTCCCTTTCTTCTTCTTCTTCTTTTTTTCCCTACTTCTTTTGTTTTAATTGTCATTCAAAGTGATCATATGTTTTATTGTTATATGTTTTCAATTAGAATTTTATTATGAACTGAAAATTAATCCATTTAAAGTGACAATTTTTTCTATCAGTAAGGTATTTTTGTCACTTATGACCTTGTAATGGAGGATAAATTAGTCATTTGATCAATTAGTTGGATGGAGTTAATTTTCTTATTATTTTCTAGTTAACTAAGGGTGTAAAATGCCTATCAAAATAATATAGGGTGTAAAGTGTAACTAGTGTAATAGTTCATGGGAGTTTTCTCATTTAACCCTTTAATTAATTCGTCAAAGACTCAAAAGACAAACCAATTATCACAATGTTTGAAATGCTAAATAAGAAGGCAGGTAATGCAAGTTTTTAGGTTGTCAAGCAAACAACCAAGTCACTGCATTGGTTTATTTCAAATTTTGCCAATATACCTTTTTACTAGACACTCTTTTAAGAGTTATTTGAAGTTGATTTCCACTCAATTTGCTGCCATATGGTAAGAGCACTCTTCCTATTTTACAACCACAGCCTTACTAACAATTCATGAATTTGGTGCCTCAACCCAAGACATCATCTCCACCATTAGCCCTTGTATCAAAGGTGTTTGCCTGTTAACTGAAAGGCAGGCATGCACTCTTCCCCGGGGGCAAAAAATTAGGATTTATTTTAACTTTCTCTCCTAAAAATAGTCTGATTAATATCTTGCTCTACAAATGGTTTACTTCCATCAATTAGTTACCCTCCTTTGCTCTAGACATGGGAAAAGTGCATTTGCTGCACGTTAGATGTAAAGTTTGTAGATATTGGATTAAAACTACTATTAGTGTTTATTATATACACACATATATAATTTACGTTATTGCTGTACATCTATTATATTATACCTTGTGAGATGCTACAAAATTTTCACATTTCTACGGAAGTGGTTTCCCTGTGTTGCTCCACAGTGCTTAAATTCATTCATCAAAAAAGTTGCAAGACCAGATAATACGCGAGTCTTCTTTGAAGTATATCAACTGAGGCCACCTTTGTCACCTGAAGAGATTTGCACCCTAACGAGATTTTTCTGCAAATGCATTATTTTTTCGATTAGAAGTTTCCTATCATTTCCACGTACTCTTGAGACAGAAAAAAAAATCATTTGAATCTTAGACGTTTTTATTATTTTGCCCTCAATCCTTCATAAAATCAAATGAAATCAAATAAACTTGGATACATGCACCGTGTGGAGAATCAAAATTACCAATACCTGATAACTGTCTTCCAAAATATGAAAAACATTCAAGATAATTGAACTAAAAGAATGCAACAATTTAGGACGATTAATGACAACAACATTTGCTTCAAGTTTAATTCTGGAAATATTTGTCCTTTTTAACATTTGGGAACTTGGGGAAACAATTGTAAAGTTCTCTTTTGGTAAGTTTCTTGCTATCATGTACGTCATGCACTAATGATACAAGTTGGCATGTTGTCTTTTCTTTTCCAAGGCCTGTGATATCGTCAGTATAGATGGGCCTAGTCTGAGAAACATTCTGATCTTAAGATGAGGTTTATCTGGGCTTCGTATAGTACAATCATGAGGCCCAAAAAAATGTATTGTTTAATTGTTATTGTTGACATGTATTGAGAAAAGTGATTAAAATTCTTTTTTTTTACTAACACGAGGAGAAGAGAGGGGAATTTAAGAAGTGGAGTGAGAGAAGAGAGATTAAAACTTAAGACCTCTAGTTTTCAGATTTCAACTTTAGTTACTGGATCAAGATCTCATTAGCAAAAGTAATCAAATACTTATATATTAACATTGTCAACTATTTGGTGGTTTATTCAAATTGTTATCTTTTAATACGAAACGTTTATGCAAAAGAGAAATTTAGTGCTACTCCACTGGTTCCTTGTTCTTTGAAAAAAACATATATATATATATATATATATATATATATATATATATATATATATATATATATATATATATGATGGAGTGTTGTTAAGAAATGTTGGTACACCATTAATTATTATTAACAATATTGAAATG